TCCTATGCAGATTTAAAAAGGAAATAAATAGAATATCAAGTGGGAGACAAAGTGTTTTTGAAAGTATCACCTTGGAAGAAAGTATTACGTTTTGGGCGAAAAGGAAAACTGAGTCCGAGATTTATTAGATCGTATGAGATTTTGAAAAAAGTTGAACCCGTGGCTTATCAATTGGCCTTACCTTCGGACATGGACAAGATTCACAATGTTTTTCATGTATCAATGCTTAGAAGGCACAGATCAGATCCCTCGCATGTTATCACTCCTGAGGAGATAAATATTCGACCAGACTTGATATATGAGGAAGAACCGGTACGAATCTTGGCAAAGGAAATCAAAGAATTACGTAATAAAAGGATTCTGCTGGTCAAAGTGCTTTGGCAAAATTACAAAGTGGAAGAAGCTACTTGGGAAAGGGAGGAGGATATGGAAAAGCAGTTTAATCATCTTTTTGTTGCATGTACTTCTTTAAAAATTCGGGGATGAATTTTATTAAAGGGGAAGAATTGTAATGCCCCAAAAATTTATTTAAGGACTAAATCGAAATGATTTAAAAGATGAGGATTTAATTAAATTAAATAATGAAAGATGAGGATAAATAGGATTTATAGTTTAGATTAAATTGTAAGAAAGGATGATAAAGGGATATTTTGGTCATTTGGAATAAATTGAATTTAATATTCAATTTAATGGGATTAGGATAAGAGATAAGATGAAGAGGGGAATAGGAAGTCAACCATTTCTTTCATCTTCTTCTCTTCTTGCCGTGGAAAACTCCCCCTTCAGCTCAAAGGTAAGTTTTCAATTTAATGGTTATTTCCTTCGATTTTTGATGGGGATTGAAGCTTTGTATATTATGGGAGCTAAAGGAAGGTTTAAATGAATTTAAAACTAAGTTATTGATGAGATATTAGAGATTAAAGATAATGGGTTTTTGAGTGACATGATGAAATATGAAGGTTTATGGATGTTTTATTATAGATTTAACTTGTCATCAACTTAATTAAGAGATATGAGGTGTTAGAACTGGATTTAGAACATGTTGAAAATTGAGTATGATTCTTAAATCTCATGTAGAAGATAGAATTTTGAGGTTAAGGATGGGATAAATGAGTATTAACAGGTTTAAGCATGTGTATGTGACTTAGGAACATGAAAGGGAAAGAAACATGGAGTATTGAAGCTTAAAGGAGTGAAATTTCGTGCTTGAAATGAGATTTCTGTGCAAAGTGCATCGATACACTAGAAGTATGTATCGATGCACTCCTAAATAAATAAACATCGAATGCACTGAGTGTGTCGATGCACAGGTAGTGTATCGATGCACCCCCTTAAGATGAAAATATCGAATGTAATTTGTGTACCGATGCATAGGTAATGTATCGATGCACACGTTAAGGAATGTACCGATGCACTGTGTAGTGTACCGATACATACCTTAAATAATAAATGAAAATAGCCTTTCTTTTAGTTTAAGAAATGAAAGATTTCAATATACTAATAAGTGATATTGAATGTGTCTTTAAAGGATGCTTGAGTAGATCGAAATCAAGCTCCCAAGTCTAGCAAAACGAAAGGCAAAGACAAAGTAGCTGAGTAATCAGATTTACGTATTGGAAATAATAGCAAGGCGAACCAGGTGAGTGCATTTAATTATGTACGTATATGTGGTAATAGTTAAAATAGCATAATTTATTGATGTATGTATAGTGATTACCGAATGGCACTTTGTGTGCTAAAATAATAAGGAAATCATACTGAGTGTATAGATTTCCATATGAAGCATTGAGTGTGCTAAATGATAAGGAAATCATACTGAGTGTATAGATTTCCATATGGATCATTGAGTGTGATAAATGATAAGGAAATAATATTGAAAATATGGATTTCCAGATAGGGCATTTTATGTGCTAAAATGGTAAGGGAATCATACTGAGTGTATGAATTTCCAGATAAAGCACTAAGGGTGCTACATGGATAAGGAAATCATACTAATGGTATGGATTTTCACATAGGGCATTTCATGTGCTAAAATGGTAATAAAATCATACTAATGTTATGGATTTTCGAATAAGGCACTTCGTGTGCTAAAATGAAATGGGAAGCATATTAAGTGTATGATCTTCCAGATAGAGCACTGAGAGTGCTAATATTAAAAGGAAATTACATGAATTGTATGAATTTCCTATGGATTATATGGATTCCAATAATGATTAATAAATGAGTTAATGGCATCAATAATGCAGATTATAGTATATTCATTGGAATTAAAGTTTCCTTGGAGATTAAATATCAGAATATAACTTGTACGTAGAAATGTTATTTGTAATTAATTATGCCTCACTAAGTAATACTTAATGTGTGTTTATTTCACGCGTAGGTTGAATACAGCTTGTAAGGAGATATTTGGATATTCGGTCAAGGTCACCTCATACGTAACCTTATGACATAATGGACTATTTTAGTTATATTTTAGTCGGCATGTAATAGATTTTAATAAATAAAAATGTTTTAAATAAATTTAAACGTATTTATGTAAATGGTAACTATATAGTGATGAACGGTTAAACTTTTATGAGTTATGTAAGTGAGATGAAGTTATTGTAGCAGTGCATCGATGCACTGTAGTAGTGCATCGATTCACAATTTATATTCGATGTTGTTGTGCATCTGTACACTGTAGCAGATTGACTCCTTGTTTTTTTTTTCTAGTGAATATCTTCTCATTTTCTACTGTGAATCTCAGTCATCTATTTTCACTCATCCAACAATCATATATCTGTGTAAAACTCTTTTAGTTTTACATTGTGTAATATGATTATTTCATATATATATATATATATATATATATATATATATATATAGATATATATATATATATATATATATGGGTTAGGATCCACTTACACAATGTAAAACTAAATTTTTTTACATAGATTAAAGATCGTTGGATGAGTGAAAATAAATGGCTGAGATTGACTCCTTATTTTTTCAGTAAATATCTTTTCATTTCCTACTGTTAATCTCAGCCATCTATTTTCACTCATCTAACAGTATTAAATTTGTGTAAAACTAAAAGAGTTTTAGATTGTGTAACAGGATCCTATCCCTATTTATATAACTAATTAGTTTTACATTAATTTACAACCCTTGGTTTTGAATAAATAGATGATCTAGATTTAATGAAGCTTTATAACCCATTAAAAAATTTCAGACAAACTTACGGTAAATTATTAACCTTTTTTTACACCGTATGTTTATCTCCTTCCTTCTCCCCTTTTCTTTCAGACAAAAAAATCATCCATATTCAACTGATTCTTCTTCTTTTTCTTCTTCTCTTACCCATTGTTTCTGCCAATAAAGAATAGACAGATATGTAGTTTTTTAAAAATTTTAAAAATTCTTTTTTTTTCTTTTAATTTATGGAGATAATGGAAAATAAAAGAAAGAAGATCAATCAAGTTCAATGAGAAAGATTTCTTCTATCTGAAAAAAGGAAATGATGAAAAAGATGAAGTTTATGGTGAAAAGAAAAAAATTTTAAATTTTTTAAAAAAACTATATACCTGTCGATTCTTTATTGACAAAAACAATGGGTAAAAGAAAAAGAAGAAGAAGAATGATCAATTGAATGGGGATGATTTCTTTTTTCTGAAAGAAAAGGGGAAGAAGGAATGAGATAAGCTTACGGTGAAAAAAAAGGTTGATAATTTACCGTAAGTTTATCTGAAAATTTTTTATGGGTTATAAAGCTTCATTAAATCTATACCATCTATTTATTCAAATTTAAGGGTTGTAAATTAATGTAAAACTAATTAGTTTTACACAATGTAAGTGGATCATATCTCATATATATATATATATATATATATATATATATATATATATATATATATATATATATTATATATATATATATAAAGTTGTTTTAATCTAAAGATAAAAAATTGCATTGGGCCAATGGTAAGGATACCCTCTCCCTATTATACCCAGATTTGATGCTCATCTTGGATAAAAAAAATTATTCAATTAAATAAATTAAATTTAATAAAAAAACCCATGACACATGACACTATCATATTAGATGATTAAATTAAAATTAAGACTAAATTGATATGATATATAAGTAATGAGAACCAAATGTATAATTGTACTAATTTTATTAATTGTCACACAATCTTTTCCATCAAATGTTAACGATAAGTGGCTTGATTGACAATATTTAAATATTTAAGTGGTTTGATTAATAAAATTAAAAGATAGATGGTTAAAACAAAACCCGATTATAATTAAGTGGTCATGGATGTAATTTACCCAATTGTTTTGCACAAAAGAAAATATATGTCAAGTTTTAAAAATATATTTTAAATAGAGTTAATTGAAACACATGTCCTCAAATTATGATCTTTATTCTAAATTAGTCCCTAAACTTTTAAACATTCTAATTTCATCCTTAAAATATGACTGTATTCTAAATTATTCCTCAAACTTTTGAACATTTCAATTCCATCCCCAAACTATAACCTTTATTCTATATTAGTCACCAAACTCTTTGAACATTTCAATTTCATCCCATACATATATACTAATCACGTCCCTTATTAATAAAATCGTTAGACCAAGTTATATTATTATATGTTTTAAAAAATAAAATTTAGGTTAAACTATGGTTGAAACTAATTGTAAAAATTGGATGAATTTGGGGATGAAAATGAAAGATTCAAATGTTTGTGGATCAATTTAAAATGATGTCATAGTTTGAGGATGAAATTAGAATATTAAAAAATTAAGGACTAATTTAGAATTAGAGTTATAGTTTAAGTATAAAATTAAAAAAATTAAAAAAATTAAAAAAATTTAAAGACTAATTTAAAATAAGAGTTATAATTTAAGTTTTAAATAGAAAAAAGAAAACTCATTATTTAAATCAAATAATAGAAACATTCTTGTCTTTCTATTACAATGTTTCTCTTGGTCTTCGTCTTTTGCCACCCATGTCTCCTCTCTCATTCAAATGAATACAAAGCAATGCTGTTTTGCTAACCCAAAATTGTAGGTAAAAAGAATGAGACGAAAAACAGAGGATTTTATTTGCCTTTGGTTCCTTTTTAATGAATGATCTCTATTCGTTTAGCCCATTTTAAGTATCCCCTTCTGTTTCAATTTTCAAGCTTCAGAAGCCTCAGGGTTTCTGAAAATTTCCAGGTATTATTCAGTTTCTTTATCTCTCCTTTGGGAGCTTTTGTTTTTATGTGATTGAGAATTCTTTTTTGGGGGGACATTGTGATTGAAAATTTTGAGTTATGCTTAGAATTTCGTTAACTTTTCTTTCATTTAGCTATTCACCACTCAAAAACTCTTCATTGGTGCCTTTCAGGTATTGGGTTGATCTTTTTCTGGTTGCCCTCTCTTTCATTTAATCCTACCTATATGTGCGTTTACAGTTAAAATTTTGGGATAGCATTGTTTGCTTTTCATCCATTGTTTTGTTTTTAATTTGATTTTTTAAAACAGATTGGAAATTGAGAAGAAAAAGTTTGCATAACAGAGAGAGATGGGGCTTGGAAGATTGGGATTTGTAGTTAGAGTTTGGAAGTTTATGATGATATCAGTTAAAACATGTTATAGATCGGTTTGGAATCATCCAATTTTGGTTGGTTTGGTCAGTTTTATCATATATTTGTATAGATCTTCTCCATTTATGTTTTCAATATTGGTTACTGCATCTCCTGTTTTGGTTTGCACTGCTGTTTTGCTTGGTCTTCTTTTGAGTTTTGGGTCACCGAACATACCCGAAGTTGAGGAAAAGGGAGAAGAAGAAAAAGTTAGTCATGAAGTTTCATCATTGAAAACTGGAGCTACTGAGGATTATTCTATAGTCGAGAGAGATGCTGGTCGTGATGGTTTTGTTGTAGAAAGATATGTAAAAAAGAGGAGAGGTATAGTAGAGAATGATTTTGAGAAAGTTAGTTTGGTTGATAATGAGGTTGGCGAAGTTGAGAAGGATGGTTCCGTTTCTTATAAGCTTTTAGTTGACGACCGTTTGGATTCTATGGGCATTCGTTGTGAGAATGGGGTGATTGATGGTGTGCAGGGAATGTCGAATGATTTGTTGTTCGAGAAGAAGAGAGAGATTAAGAGAGAGATGCTGGGGAGTGATGGTGCATTTCGTAAGATGGAGCTTGCTGAGGATCAAAGTAATGTGCCAAAGGATAAAGATGATGATGACTATTTGGATTCTGATTCTGATGGTGCTGAAAGTTCCTCTCCTGATGTTTCGATGGCAGATTTAATGCCGGTGATTGATGAGTTGAATCCACTTTTAGGCTCAGATGCACCACAGCCTGCTCTGCTATGTGTGGATGGTTCTTATGCTGTTTCAGATATGTCTCATGGCAGTATTAATGATGATAGTGTTGATTCAGATGAGTTAGAGAACCCGAGGGAGGAAGATAATGATGAGAATGAAGGAAAAGGAACAAAGACGGATACTGAAGATGAAAGTAAATTCGCAATTAAATGGACAGAGGATGATCAGAAAAATCTCATTGAACTGGGGACTTCAGAGCTTGAAAGAAACCAACGGTTGGAGATTCTTATGGCTAGGAGAAGAGCTTGTAAAAACATGAATTCAACGACTGAGAAGAATTTAATGAACTTAGAAGGTGCTGCTATTTCCTCACACATCACACCGATTTCTACTAGACAAAACCCGTTTGAACTTCTATACGATTCCTGTGATGAGCTAGGATTACCTCCCATTCCAGGGTCAGCTCCATCCATTAGGCTGCCAAGAAACCCTTTTGATCTTCCTTGTGACTCAACTGAGGAAATACCTGTTCCTAAAGGAGACAGTTTCCCAGTAGATTTTTCAGGTTTTAATCAAAGGGAAGTAGTTCCTCAAAGAGAATCCATCTTTCGGAGACATGAAAGCTTCAATGTGGGACCGTCATCTTTTGGTTTTCCTAGGGAAGAGCATAATTGGAAACCTTTTTTTGTTCCAGATAGGGTAGTAACAGAAGGAGCCTCATTCCTGAGGCAGTCAAGTGAAGCTAGTGAGTCGAAGTTGAGCTCTGTTCTTGATACGGAATCAGCGAGTTCAGTACCGGACGAAGAGGACAACAAGTCAAATGAGCATGGTGTTTCTCGAGAAACTGAACCGATCTTGAATGTAGATCATGTTTCTGTCCATGATGAACAAGAGAGCCAATCATCAGGGAATGTTAGATCCATTAATGCTGTCCTAGCCGAGAATCGAGATGTTCATCATGATGTGGTTGAGATCGTTTTGGGGGATGGGGAAAATCAGCTGGAAATTGAATCAGATTTGTCTGAAGCTGCAGCAACTGCTCATATGGAATTCAATGCCAGTGAAATTCATTCTGAAGGAGAGATGATTATGGATGATTCTAGCAGTAGCTCAAGTTCGTCTTCCTCCTCCTCCTCCTCCTCAGAAACAGATGAAGAGATATCTGATGCCAGGGGAGAAGATTTTGCAAGTTTTGAATCCGAGGATAATGAAACTAAAGAATCTGACTTTTCTACACAACCTTCATTTGAGGAATCAGAGTTCCCTTCTACGAGTAGGGCGGTGGATGATAATCAACACAGGAAGCCTGTTTATGATTCCAGTCCTCCATCACTCGAGAAATTCTTCTCATTTTCATCTCTCTCTTCTAGCACATTAGCTGAGATATCTGAAATGGGTTTGCCTTTGAGGTTGATAGGGTCTACAGATGGGGAACCCAAAGCACATGGCAAAACAACTATTGTGGCATCATCTTCACTGGAATCGGACAAACAACTGTTGTGGCATGATACAGAGATGGATGAACATGATAAGCTCAAGGTAAGTTATGCAATATGAAGTATGTTTCTTTGAAGATTAATCATATAAACTGTATTGCAAATTTTGTCTCCGATAATGTGTTTCATTTATCGAATACTAGATGCTTTTTTTGGCCTTGTAAGATCAAGTTTCCCTTCTTTTTTCTGCTTTTGTGAGCTCGGAGTTCGTAGGAGATGATGTATCCTTCCCCCCCCCCCACACACAAAAAAATTGTTTCTTTCTTAATCTGCTATAGAATTGGTGGTCTTATAAAATAACTTTAATTCCCTGATGCACCAGCACAAGAAAGAGTTGATTGGCAATGATATTATTTTTGTGTCAAATAATGATGTAGAAATAGTTAATTGAACATGGATGATATGATACTTATCTATTTACTCTAATTAGGATTTCATCACTCAAAGTGATGATTTACCCCGCATAAGATTTACGAATTGTATGTATGCTTCAACACTGGCATTTATGAAATTTGCTGCACTATATATTTGAATTTTCTTGGAAATATCCTCTTTTTCTCAGGAGTTTAATTGTTTGATTTTGTTGTTTTCACATGCATCCAGTTCATTATGCACTATGGTTCCCTGCTTTTCAGGCAATTTATCTCAAATTTTATGATATTTTGGTTTCCTTGTGTGACTTAAATTGCTGATATCGAAACTAACAGAAACCACTATGATTCAGGAAATTAGTTCACTGGATGGATCTCATGTTGCCTATTCTGAATGTACATTGTTACCAGAAGATATGAAGACTCAGACTAATGTAGTGTTGCCTGTTCTTGAAGCAAAATCAGCAGAAGACATTGATATGGCTTTTAAGCAACTTCATGAAGGGGTTGATGTTGAGGAAGTGATTGTTCCGAGTATGATTGAGAAACTGCAAGATCAATCAGCTAACAAATCAAAATTACCCGTTGTCGAGGCAAGATCTCTGGAGGATATATATAAAGCGTTTCAACAATCTCCGGAATCTAGTCCAGCTGAGCTGCCACCTTCTTCAGGCTATACAAAGACTGAGAATAACATGGTGCTTCCTGTTCTTGAAGCAAGATCAGCGGAAGATATTAATTTGGCTTTCAAGCAACTTCATGAAGGGGTTGATGTTGAGGAAGTGATTGTTCCAAGTATGATTGAGAAACTGCAGGATCATGGAGATATCAAATCAAAATTACCCGTAGTCGAGGTAAGATCTCTGGAGGATATACATAAAGCATTTCAACAAGTTCCAGAATCTAGTCCAGCTGACCAGCAGCCTTCTTCAGGCTATAAAAAGGCTGAGACTGATGTGGTATTACCTGTTCTTGAAGCAAGATCAGCAGAAGTTATTGATTTGACTTTTAACCAACTTCACGAAGGGGTCGATATTGAGGAAGTAATTCTTCCGAGTATGATTGAGAAACTGCAAGATTATACAGATGATAAAGAAAAATTACCCGTTGTCGAGGCAAGATCTCTGGAGGATATACATAAAGTTATTCATCAACCTCTGGAATCCAGTCAACCTGAGCTTCCACATTCTTCATGCTTAAAGAACAAATCATCAAAAGATACAAAGACCAATACGAATGTGGTGCTGCCTGTTCTTGAAGTGAAATCAGCAGAAGATATTGATTTGGCTTTTAAGCAACTTCACGAAGGGGTCGATGTTGAGGAAGTTATTGTTCCGAGTATGATTGAGAAACTGCAGGATCATGGAGATATCAAATCAAAATTACCTGTTGTCGAGGCAAGATCTATGGAGGATATACATAAAGTTTTTCATCAAGCTCTGGATTCTAGTAAACCTGAGCTGCCACATTCTTCAGGCTTAAAGAACAAATCATCAAAAGTTACAAAGACCGAGATCAATGGGCTGCTGCCTGTTCTTGAAGCAAAATCAGCAGAAGATATTGATTTGGCGTTTAAGCAACTTCACGAAGGGGTTGATGTTGAAGAAGTAATTGTTCCAAGTATGATTGAGAAACTGCAAGATTATACAGATGATAAAGAAAAATTACCCGTTGTCGAGGCAAGATCTCTGGAGGATATACATAAAGTTATTCATCAACCTCTGGAATCCAGTCAACCTGAGCTTCCACATTCTTCATGCTTAAAGAACAAATCATCAAAAGATACAAAGACCAATACGAATGTGGTGCTGCCTGTTCTTGAAGTGAAATCAGCAGAAGATATTGATTTGGCTTTTAAGCAACTTCACGAAGGGGTCGATGTTGAGGAAGTTATTGTTCCGAGTATGATTGAGAAACTGCAGGATCATGGAGATATCAAATCAAAATTACCTGTTGTCGAGGCAAGATCTATGGAGGATATACATAAAGTTTTTCATCAAGCTCTGGATTCTAGTAAACCTGAGCTGCCACATTCTTCAGGCTTAAAGAACAAATCATCAAAAGATACAAAGACCGAGACCAATGTGCCACTGCCTGTTCTTGAAGCAAAATCAGCAGAAGATATTGATTTGGCTTTTAAGCAACTTCACGAAGGGGTTGATGTTGAGGAAGTAATTGTTCCGAGTATGATTGAGAAACTGCAAGATTATACGGATAATAAAGTAAAGCTACCTGTTGTTGAAACAAGATTTCTGGAGGATATACATAAAAATTTTCAACAAGCACCAGAATCTAATCCGGTTGAGGTGCTGCAATCTTCCGACTTTAGGAAGGAATTATCAAAAGATTCGAAGACCGACAATAATATGGTGCTTCCTATTCTTGAAGCACGATCAGCAGAAGATATTGATTTGGCTTTTAAGCAACTTCATGAAGGGGTCGATGTTGAGGAGGTGATTCTTCCAAGTATGATTGAGAAACCGAAGGATCATGGAGATATCAAATCAAAATTACCTATAGTTGAGGCAAGAACTCTGGAGGATATACATAAAGCATTTCATCAAGCTCCAGAATTTAGTCCAGCTGAGCTGCCGCCTTCTTCAGGCTATACGAATACAGAAACTAATGTGGTTCTGCCTATTCTTGAAGCAAGATCAGCAGAAGATATTGATTTGGCTTTTAAGCAACTTCATGAAAGGGTTGATGTAGAGGAAGTGATTGTTCCGAGTATGATTGAGAAACCGCAGGATCATGGAGATATCAAATTAAAATTACCTGTTGTCGAGGCAAGATCTATGGAGGATATACATAAAGTTTTTCATCAAGCTCCGGATTCTAGTAAACCTGAGCTGCCACATTCTTCAGGCTTAAAGAACAAATCATCAAAAGTTACAAAGACCGAGACCAATGGGCTGCAGCCTGTTCTTGAAGCCAAAACAGCAGAAGATATTGATTTGGCATTTAAGCAACTTTACGAAGGGGTTGATGTTGAGGAAGTAATTGTTCCAAGTATGATTGAGAAACTGCAAGATCATGCAGATAATAAAGCAAAACTACCTGTTGTCGAAGCAAGATCTCTGGAGGACATACATAAAGTTTTTCATCAAGCTCTGGAATCTAGTCAACCTGAGCTTCCACATTCTTCAGGCTTAAAGAACAAATCATCAAAAGATACAAAGACCGAGACCAATGTGCTGCTGCCTGTTCTTGAAGTAAAATCAGCAGAAGATATTGATTTGGCTTTTAAGCAACTTCACGAAGGGGTTCATGTTGAGGAAGTAATTGTTCCAAGTATGATTGAGAAACTGCAAGATCATACAGATAATAAAGCAAAACTACCTGTTGTCGAAACAAGATCTCTGGAGGATATACATAAATATTTTCAACAAGCAGCAGAATCTAATCCGGTTGAGGTGCTGCAATCTTTTGACTTTAGGAAGGAATTATCAAAAGATTCGAAGACCGACAATAATGTGGTGCTTCCTATTCTTGAAGCACGATCAGCAGAAGATATTGATTTGGCTTTTAAGCAACTTCATGAAGGGGTCGATGTTGAGGAAGTGATTGTTCCAAGTATGATTGAGAAACCGAAGAATCATGGAGATATCAAATCAGAGTTACCTATAGTTGAGGCAAGATCTCTGGAGGATATACATAAAGCATTTCGTCATGCTCCAGAATCTAGTCCAGCTGAGCTGCCGTTTTCTTCAGGCTATACAAATACAGAGACTAATGTGGTGCTGCCTGTTCTTGAAGCAAGATCAGCAGAAGATATTGATATGGCTTTTAAGCAACTTCATGAAGGAGTTGATGTTGAGGATGTAATTGTTCCGAGTATGATTGAGAAACTGCAAGATCATTCAGATTATAAAGCAAAACTACCTGTTGTCGAGGCAAGATCTCTGGAGGATATACATAAAGTTTTTCATCAAGCTCCAGAATCTAGTCCAGCTGAGCTGCCTCCTTCTTCAGGCTATACTAAGACCGAGACTAATGTGGTGCTGCCTGTTCTTGAAGCAAGATCAGCAGAAGATATTGATTTGGCTTTTAAGCAACTTCATGAAGGGGTTGATGTAGAGGAAGTGATTGTTCCTAGTATGATTGAGAAAACTCAGGATCATGGGGATATCAAATCCAAATTACCTGTTGTCGAGGCAAAATCTTTGGAAGATTTACATAACGCTTTCCAACAAGGCATAGAACCGACTCCAGCTGAGCGGCCTCACTCTTCAGGCACAAGGAATGAACCGAGACCATGAACGGTAAGAAGGCAAAGCTCAAGTTCTACTGATTATGAATGAAGTAACAAAATGTAGTTTAGAAAGAGTTTGGTGGTTTCAGTTTTCTTTTAAAATGGTTGTTTCTTTAACCCTCCTTTTTGGAGATGAGATTTTTGGTTTTCTAGTTTGGTTACCATAATGTTTTTGATTAATGTAGTCATGTTTTGTTGAGTTTATTTGTTTATTGAATGAATGAATGAGTTATTCAAAAGTAAGGAGTTCTGCTATGATTTCTTTTTGTGCTATGATTAAGTGCTCAATTCTGATACTATGCTATTGCTCTCTCATGGTTTTTCATCTTTCTTCTCCTACGTTTACCTGTATACTCTAATCTTTCTCATCTTTCTACATGTATAGTACCTAAATTATCAATTTTGTTTCATTTTAGTACCTAAACTTTCATTTGTTTCAAAATCATACTTAACATTTACTTTTTGTATCATTTTAATACACCGCCGTTAAAAACTTAACCGAACTACTGCACATTGCATTTTTATGAGTAAATTACATCATTCATCACTTAACTATCTTCTCACTTCTATTTTGGTCACTAAAGTTTAAACATTTTCAATTTAACTACTCAACTTTCAAATTGTTCATGTTTTAATCATTCTAATTAATTTTATTAATAATTTTTGTGACATGACATCTTTTATTATTATTTTATTAATATATAATTAAAATAAAAAAATAAATTTGAAAGTTAGTGATTAAATTTGGAGTAATTTGAAAGTTAAGTAATTAAATTAAAAAATTAAACTTTAGTAACCAAATAGGAGTGAAAAGATAGTTGAGTGATGAATGATGTAATTTACCCATAAAAATGTCATGTTGTAACAGTCCGTTAAGTTTTTACCAGTGAGGCATCAAAACGAAACAAAAAGTAAACGTTAGATATGATTTTGAAATAAATGAAAATTTAGGTAATAAAATGAAATAAAACTAATAGTTTAGGTACTAAACATGTAGTTTATCCAATAAAATTGTATGATGTATACATGACAGTAATCAGCACCCAACAAGATATATGTAAAGCAAGACAAATAACTTGAAAGTTTTTCACTGATGTAACTCGATGATCTCAACATAGCTTCAGTGTGTCTTTAGTCAGCTGAAATTTCACTTCTATCTCTTCTCAAGCTCAAAAGGTATGAGAAAAGAAGTTAAAAGTCTTTGATTTAGCTAAACTTTAATCATTGCAAAGAAAGACATAGAAATCCAAGAGGTAACTGCGAATATGATCGTGTTCACATCTCGATCAACTGCGGCTCCCGCAAACATGTCCTATGTATGAATCTAAGACATCACTTTTAGAACATTTAATCAATACCAATGCTACGACAATTCTCAATCGACAATTGTCCGAAACATTATAAATAACCATGAAACAAAAAGTAAGGGTATATACACACTTCATCAGAAGACAAGACCAACACCGTCAGAACCACCACCCTACTTTTGTCTACAATCGTTGTTCACTTCCTAGGACGTCTAATTAATACCAATGCCACAACAACTCTCAATCGACACCTATCTGGAACACTATAAATAACTATGCAACAGAGAGTAAGGGCAGGCAAACACTTCTCCACTAAAGAACCAGACCATCGTCGGAACCACCATCCTACCTCTGTTTACTATCATTATTCACCATCAACAATATTTGTATTAGATTGTGTTAGAAACCTGGGCTTCAAGAAAAATATATCACTATGAAAGAAATAACAATGAGAGGTAGTTCTTCATTGATACACAACACAACTTTTTATACAAATGTTACATAGCAAGCTAAACTACAGCTCTAATAACAGCTCATAACAACTATACTAACAACCTCACAACTGCATAACCGTCTACTACACGTCAGCAATAGTTTCAACACTCAACATTCTCTCTAGTTTTTCTTCCTCCCCAAGAAAAGACTGAACATTAACTTTAGCACGAAAAACTTCAAACTGAGTTGCAGCCAAAGGCTTTGTAAAACCATCAACAACTTGGTGATTATCTGGCACATAATTCACCACCACTTGTTTCAATGCATCCTTCTCACGAGCGAAATGGACATCAAGCTCTACATGCTTACTTTTTGTATGATAGACAAGATTAGTTGTCATGGCAACAACACTGCTGTTATCGCATCGTACAATTGGTATTTTTTTGCCTTGCAATACCCATATCAGTCAGAAGAGCACTCACCCACGTCGTTTCAGCAGTAACGTCTGCAACACTCCTGTATTTAGCCTCCATGGTGGACATGGAGATCGACTTTTTCTTCCTAGAAGTCCACATGACTAGATTATCACCTACAAAAACATAGTTACCAGAAATGGACTTGCGATCATCAGTGTTTCCAGCACAATCAGCATCAACAAATGCCACAATATTGAATCCTGCCACTGCAGGTGCTATCACCAAACCATGATTAAGTGTTCCTACCAAATACCGCAAAATTCTTTTAACAACAACAAGATGGCATTGCCTTGGAGCATGCATGTATTGCGCAACCTTATTAACGCTGAACGTAATGTCTGGCCAAGTATGACATGCATATAGAATAGCTCCCACAATACTCCGATATTCATAGGCATCCTGAAGCAACGAACCTGCATCTTGAATCAACTTAGCAGATACAAGCATAAGTGTAGAAGCAGAATTGGCAGTACTCATCTTAGTCTTCATTAGAAATTCTAAAATAAACTTTCGTTGACTAAGAATCAACGAACCTCCACACTGTTTAACTTTTATGCCCAGAAAGTAATGAAGATCACCAAGATCTTTTAAGGCAAACCCATCCCCAAGCAACCTCACCACTTCTTCAATTTGCACATTCGACTCACTAGTCAACACTATATCATCAACATACACAAGCATATAGACACATTGACCGTCTACCTAATGAACAAACAATGATGTATCTGCTGAAGATTCTTTAAAACCATTTTGAACTAAGCAACTCTTAATCTTATCGTGCCAGTTCCGAGTAGCTTGACGTAGACCATACAAAACCTTCTGCAATTTACACATCAAAGGACTACCATCAGCAGCCACTTGTTCAAACCCAGGCGGTTGTTGCATGAAAACATCCTCATGAAGATCACCATGCAAGAATGCATTATTCACATCCACCTGATGCAGCTGCCAACCCTTCGTTACAGCCAAAGAAAGAACAACATTTAGTGTAACAAACTTAACAACTGAGCTAAACGTCTCACCAAAATCATGTCTCGACATCTGCGAGAACCCTTTTGCTACTAACCTAGCTTTGTATCTGCTAACAGAACCATCAGGGTTATTTTTTAACTTGAAAATTCATTTGCACCCAACCACTGATCGTCCTTCAAGAAGCTTCACAAGGGTCCATATACCATTCTTCTACAAAGCTTCAATCTCTGCATGAACTGCAACTCTCCAATGAGAAGACTGAAGTGCCTCATACACATTTACAGGTTCCATATCATCATAGCTAGCCAAATACAACTTAGGCTTGAATACACCACATTTACTTCTTGTCAGTATCGGATGACGATTCAAAGAGATACCACCACCTTCCAGCGAACCTTCACCATTATTACCCCTCATAACAGCTGTTTGTAATAAGGAGAAACGTGGGCAATAGAAACAGGAGCTGACACAGACTCCACTAGATCCACCAACTCATTATCCTCACCTGCACCAACTGAGGTTGCACCAGCTACCTCTTGCTGAACTGCTGCTCCCAGAGAACTAACATTTGCATCACAGTAGCCTGACCCGTCTCACCAGAATCCTCAGTTGTACTAACTAAGGTTGCACCAGCTACCTCTTGCTGAACTGCTGCTCCCAGAGAAATAACATCTACATTCACAGTGGCCTGACCCGTCTCACCAGAAAAATGAGAAGCTTGCACCCCATAAGTTCCACTGGTTCGAAACTAACGCATATCAGTCAGAAGTTCAAGCGTCATGGACTTTTGTTTACAAGACACATAAACATTACTTGAAATACCAGCCCCTGCAAATGGAAAAACCAATTCATCAAAAATTAAATGTCTAGAAACATATATCTTGCCACTGGCTGCTAGGCACATATAACCTTTGTGTTGTGGGCTATAACCCAAAAAAGTGCATGGTTGAGACCGAAACTCAAGTTTATGTTGCTGAAAAACTCTCAAGTGAGGAAAACATTTGCACCCAAAGATCTTCATGAACTCATATTCTGGTTTCTTCCCCCAAAGCTTCTCGTGTGGTGACAACCCATCCAAGACCCTAGTAGGAAGTTGATTAATGAGAAATAACGCAGTAACAGTCGCATAATACCAATAACATAAAGGAATAGTTGCCTGAGCTAACAAAACCAAGGCAAGTTCAAGGATATGTCGATGCTTTCTTTCTGCCACACCATTCTGCTTAGATGTGTGAGGACAAGCAAAACGATGAGTAATCCCATCTTTCAACAGAATATATGAGAGATTGCGATATTCCCCACCCAGTCGCTTTGCACAGCCTTAACAGACAAACCAAACTGAGTAGAAACCATTTGCTGAAATTACTTGAACACATTCACTGCGTGCGATCTAGCTTTCAAGAAATAAACCCAAGTATGCCTCGAATAGGCATCAACAAACGACAAATAATAATAAAATCCATTAGAAGAAATGTGAGATGGCCCCCATATATCAGTATAAACAAGTTGAAAGAGCTCAGTATACACATTATTAGAGTGAAAGAAAGGCAATTTATGGTTCTTGACAATGCAACAAGCCTCACAGATCTTATTCATAGCTTTGGGAACATGTACATCAAGAGTTTGACACACACTAGCAACAATATTATACACTGCATGCCCTAACCTTCTATGCCAAACACTGTAAACATCATCAGCAACAATAGAATTATCACAAGCTTTTTTACAAACACTTGAAGTACTATTATTAGGAAACACATAAAGCCCTCATTCCATACGCCCTTGAAGAAGGACACCTTGAGTAATAGCATCACGAACGCAGCAGCCTTGAGCATGAAACTAAAAAATCACGTTGTTATCCCTAGCAAACTTAGATACTGAGAGTAAATTCTGAGTTATACTAGGAACATGAAGCAAATCACTAACTAAAAAAGTTTTAGAAGTAGATTTCAGGGTCGTATCACCAACCAAATCAATAGCTAATGAAACACCATCACCAACAACCAGCTTACCTGGACCACTATGACCAGTGCGATGAGTTATAATATCAGCATTC